GCCCAGCGCCGCTGCCCGCCGGAGGAAGAACAAGAGATTGGTTTTTTCCACCAAATTCCTTTGTCTTTCAGATACTATCGGTATGCTTCCACCGCTCATGTGAGGGATGCTGCATAGCTTACATTCACGTTGTGAGTCAATAGAACACTTTGTGCTGCTATTTTAAGGTGAGAATTTGTGTTACTAAATCTTAACATCCTGAGGCAGGATTTCAAAACAAACCCGAGTCAGCCGCTTAGAACATTTTCACATTTAAACTGCAGGAGAAGAGCATTAAAGACTAATGCTGCGTATAATGCAGCATCCTAGAAGAAAGCGCTGAAACATTATGGCAATGCTTGGATAGTGAGCGGTACTCAGCAATGCAGGAATTAGATTCACACAAAGTTGTTGTAGATAGGATATTAAATGTAGAAAAGGAAGCTGAAGGGTGCGCACAGGGCTCCTGGGGAGGGGTGGACACCGTGTCCTTATTAAAAAAAAATAAAAGGTAATACTGATTCATTGATTTATTGGCCAGATCTTCAAGGTCTCCTGAGTAGTATATATGGAATTTGACAAAAGCATAAACCCAATGGATTTTGTGATGTCTCAGGCAGAGAGGGGCTGGTTCCCATCGCACCCCCTGTTCCATGGGACGTCAGACACAGCCCGGCCCCCGGAGCCCTTGGAAGGAGGAACCTCCAGCTGCTTCCTCCCGGGTCAGGGCAGGCTCTGCTCTCCTGGGGAAGCGTTTAGTTCCCTGAGGAACACCTTGGACCTCCTACTCACGCTGCAGCGGATGCTCGCTGGCTTTGGGCAGCACCATAGCGGGCTCAGGAGGAGCGCCGTCAGCCCCTGCTCCGTTACCCACCTCACACCCACCCGGCTGTTCTGCCCGACCCTCCCGCAGCCGCTCGAGCACAAACCCCCCGGGCACAGCCTCACGGCGCGACTCTGCTGTATAAACCAGCAGCAGCAAAACGCATTTAAGCCCAGAGATACGAGCAAGGCAAACTAGTAAATATTTTCTGCCTTTTAAGAAATCCAATAAAAGATTTAGATCAGATTAACATTTAAAACACACCCACGCTACCCTGGGCAGGATCCATCCTGGCCAGAGCCGTCTGCCTGCAGCCCCGCGGCCGGTTTGCTCGGCTGCTTGCCCCCACACTGGCCCAATGTGGGGTCCTGCCAGCCCCCGCCACCGGCCGCAGGGGCTCCCGGGTCTGCTGTGCTGATCTTTGTGAGCTGCTCAGCAGCCCAGCATTGCTGGAAGAAGTTATTTCTTTTTACTTTGTTTCCTGAGGCTGAATTTTAGCTTTTTTTTTTTTTCCTGATGGCCACATTGAGACATACCTATGGGCTGAGGAGCGCCCGTGGTGTAAAGGCTCCGCTGTTGTACCTGGGTAAAGTTAAAGACACTGAGTGGCCAGTTTTGATGCTGCTTTATCTGTGTTCACGGTTTTGCAGAAGCCATCGATACGTGTTCTCCACCTTGCATTGATTTCCCTTCACCCCCCACCTGAGGTGCGACAGCGAGAGCCGGGACAGCGCTGTGCTGGGAGGGAGCTCAGCTCCGAACCAGCTTTAGGCAAAGTCTGGAGTGCTCCCAGCTCGCTTCATCTCTCCAGCTCACCGACCGTGAAGACACTGTGCTGAAGGGCAGTATTTTCACATTTTTACGTTAGATTCAGGCCACACCGTGGAAAATAAGATTAATCTAGTTTTTAGATGTGTTTTAAACTGATCCAGAATGTTTTTTCCCCAATGTCAAAGTTACTGGACTTGTTCTTTGCAAGCACTGCCCCGTTCCTGCGGGAGCACAGGCACAGGGACGGGGACAAGGGACGGGGTCACTGGAAGATCATCCTCACGCAGGATGCCTGCAGCGTCCCTGCTCTGCCATGAAAACACACAGATCCCAAAATTGAAAAAAAACCAACAAGTTAACAAAGGTGTGCTGGCAATACAGCCAAGCAGCCCCAGGTTTGGCAGGGGCCGTCTCCACACAGCACCAGAGCGAAGGACCCAGGTTTACGCTTCCTTTAGGCATAAGCTGGGCTTTAAGTGGGTCATTTGATAACAGAAAGGACATTAAGCGAAAGTGGCACTTGCCCATATTTGGGTGACATTCTTTTCAATCTTTTTCTCATTTGAATATTTTTCTCCTTACCTTTATTTCCAGGATGTTTCCAAACAGACTGCCCGTTCCGTCTCACTGCCGAAAGCTGCTCTGTGCGAGGCGCCCGATCGGAACCCAAAGCCCCCGTTACTGGGGGTCCCTGCCCCGGACACAGGGCTCAGTGCTCGGAGGCTGTGGCTGTTCAGGGCGGGGTTGGTGCTAGTTTTGGTGCCAGCCCGGAGCCTGTCCTGCGCTCCCCCATCAGCCTCTGTACCTGGAGCAGAGAAGTGACAAATAAAGACAAGACCCACCTCCATCGGCACACAGATAACCATCACCCAGCACAAAACCCCCTCGGAGAAAGGCAGCGGAGGCTGTGCTCGGACAGGAGCCCAGGAGGTCAGGGCTGGGGACACGGGAGGTGCTCCCCCCTTGCTGGACCCGCAGCCCAGCTCCTGCTGATGTGTTTTTTCTTTGCATTTTTCTTACATTTTT